TTGTTTGGGCAAATGTCCTGCTGTGCCACTTGTAGGCTCTGGGTGCCTGGAAGTGTCCCTGTGTCCTTGAGGCCAGCAGAGGGACACTGACAGAAAAGAAGAGGTTCCCCTCAAACTCACACAGCTAGAAGTCCCTGGGCCCAAAAGAAGAGGAAGCTAGCTTGGTATTTGATGTCTTATTAGTCAGTAATAGTCCTGAGTACTCACTGTGTGCCAGGTGCAGATAAATACTATTCATGCTTGGGCATAATTAGTCCTCAACAAATGTAAAATACTGTTACTGTTCCACATCTAGGAAGTGGCAGATAATGTTATCATTCATTCATTCAACAAACGTTTGTTACGTACCTGCTGTGTGCTGTGTTCTGGGGAGATAGGCCCTGTTCTTAACCACTGTGCTTCAATACCTCCAGTTTAGTTTCAAGGAAGATGTTTTCCTCCTTTGTAGGAAATTGGAAAATCACGGCACCAAAGAATTGATGATTCATGGCCCCTCCCAAAACATTTTGTTTTTAAGTCTTCAAAATAAGCATCACGGGTGGGTATTGTGTAGATAAAGAATGGGCATCTTATAGTTGTTCCTGTTCATCTCGAGATGGTGCTGACTTTATGCTGGAGCACAAGACAGGAAGGGAACAGAGCTACTGATACAGCTGCTAACAGGAAAAAAATGATTGAATCTATTAACAGCATGAGGCTTCTCAACTCAGGAAACAGTTTTCTCATTTTATTTTTAGAAGAATTGGAGGGTTTATTTACATTTGGTAAACAAAGCATTTGCCTTTGAAGAACAAAATGAAATATTTAAGGTGATAGAGGTCGAGCTTTATAAAGCCAAAGTAAATTGAGAAGAACTAGGGCTTTCTCCTAAAGCTGTATGGGGTCAGGAATTTGAAATAATACGAAATACGGGACAAGAGTTGTGTTTTTTAAAAAAAGACAGTGGCTTTAAACTAAGATGCCTTTGTCATCTGGGTAATAACCAGGTATCTGACCCAGCAGGCTCCTGGGCTCGGGGCTGCTGTCTTCCCTCTGGGCTGACGTTTCTGACCCTTGGCTCATGCCTTAGTGCCACTCACAAGCTGTGTTCACGTGAAATGGCCAGGGAGGTTCACCAGCGGTTGCTCTTTCCGGTTCTCTGGCTTCGACGAGTCATTGCAGGACAGCCCTCCCAGCCAAGGGCCGATAAGAATAGACACAATAGGAAAGTAAAACAACTGAGAGCTGAAGCAGAAAGAGCTGGCGACTCGGAAGTGTGTCCTCAGCTCTGCTGTGTTTAGCTGTGTGATTTGTGAGAGTCGTCGTCTTCCCAGGCCCTGGGTGTCTGTCTCATGCATAAAGTCTCATGCAGAAAGTCAAGTTTCTGGGGTCTCTTGCTCAAGTTAGGTCAACTTTGGAGTTTGATATCCACCAAGAGAGGTAGGAGATAACAGCACATTGAGGAGACAGTGATTCGTGACTTAGGTAATTATAGTAGCTTTGTTGACTGTTGGAAAACAGCAGTGGCAGATGAGTCAGCCTGGCACGTAGCTATTGGAGATCAGTGATGCCCTTTTTGTTGTTTTTTTTTTTTAAAAAAAAAAAAGACCTGACTAAAGCGTAAGTTTAGGTGCCAATGGTCAGGGTGATGCCAAGTTCCAGAAATAGCAACTAGGACCTTGCACAGAGGACAGTATAGAGGGGACGGTTGTCATGAGCTTGTTTTCCCAGCTGAACCTCCACTTCGGCTTTCCCAAGGGCAGATGCTTGTGGGAGACCGTGGGGGTATAACATCACCATCCAGCAAACCATCCACCCAGACGTGCTCCTGGGGGAGTCACCATCCACGACTGAGGAGAGGAAGGTGGTATTTCGAACCTCCCTCCTCTGCCTGGCCTGGTTCTCCAAGGATAGGTGTGAAAGGGAGACTCCAGACAAAGGCGTGTTCTGCGTTAGGAGCTCCAGCTGCAAACCCCTCGACTCCACCTGGGCTCCTCTAGAGACAGGCAGGTCTGCACCATCCATCCTTCCTCCTTCCCCCTGAGCACTTTCTCCAATAGCCAGAGAAGCTGCGAGTCTCAGGTGTGGACCCGGGCTCGCCTGGTCTGCTTATTCCGTGCTTCCCCCCACAGTCCAGTGT